GACGGTACTTGATTTGAGAGCCCTTTCGGACTGTAATTGTTAGCATAGGATGTGTTACGGTTTTATTGGTTAGATGCTTCAGAAAGAAGGTTCCTTGCCCTCAAAATCAAAAGGAATGAGTTCATTTTCTGATGATTATTGAGATGAGAGATTGAATCAATCTAGTGTCCGAAAGGAGGTTGCTCTTGGAGTCGGTAGGATGTCCATCAATTTTGTCATTCGCCTTAATCGGGTTTAGATTCATCATTCATGAGCTTAGTCCTAGGATAAATGTGAGCTCAATCGCTCATGATCTTTTATGATGGTCGCCTTTGTTGTTTGGTTTTACATCAAATGGATACGGGTCGCAATTAAACTCATGAGGTCTTAGTTTCCAGTAGATGACGGCAAAAGAATTTCTGTATGAAATGGCAGTCTCTGTACACTTGCAAAATTTGTCCTAGCACGGATTTCTAGTACTACACTAAGCTTCCTAGTGCAGCAGAGGAAATTTGAATAAATTCTAAACAGGAGATTCCATAGTGTTTGAATCTTCCATGGTAACTTATTGGTACTAGCAAGGCATTTTCTTATATTAAAGACCTGATAATGCATTGGATGTCAAAGATCATTTTCTCTGCTGTGTCAACTAGCCTTTCCTTGTGATTCCATAATCATGCTAGAAATGACATTATATCCTCTTAGCTTAATCTATGAACATTCTTCTTTTAGTATCCTTCAACTTTGATTGCATCACCCATTTCAATGTCCATGTTAAGAAAGTGCAGGTCGTTGGACTGCTACAAACAAATCTAAGAGCCACGGTTGCAGTTATTTAGCTGAGCTCCATCTAGACCGTGACTAGAAACTTTACGATGGAACACAGATAAATTACATTCTATTGTATATCTTTTAGAAAATGAAGCGGTATATTGTGATTATCCTTTTCTTTTACTCTTCACTTTCTCCTTTGATCCATTAAGTTTTGTCGCTTTTCTTTGTGGTTGTGCTCATTTGAAGCTTAATAAGATAAAAGTGTCTTTGTTGAGATATCCGGATTGGTTTGTGCATTGTTGCATAAGTGATTGGTCTTAGGTTCGAGTTTGTGTGTGAGCGTCACGTATGCGATTTGATATAATAAACTTTTTCTTTCATTTTTTAAAAACTACGATAAAAGTGCTTCATGAGTTGATTATATGTACCATGGCTCTTTACATTTGCCATTTAATTTGCAGAATATCCATCAGGGCTATCCAACTGAAACTTTGGTGCGCTTTCTTAAAGCTAGAGAGTGGAATATCTCTAAAGCACAAAACATGGTATTCTGTACATCGGTTACTTGTATTTGATTCTCTTGTTTAGTGCATTCGAACGTTGTTTATTCTAAACTTCAAGTTGTCCATGTCTGTTGCAGCTGGTGGACTGTTTAAATTGGAGGAAACAAAATCATATTGATGATATTTTGGCTGTGAGTTCCAAATGAATATACTAATCTTTTCTGGAGTTCCACCTAAGATCATACCTCAGTATATCCTCCATGACATAACAAACCAGTGATCAATAGAATCATAATATAAGACTTAAATATTCTAAACATATAATTCTGTAGTGAGAACACATCTGCTGCGTTGTTCAAATCCAGTGAAAAGAACCACTTATTAGTTTCGGCACGAACTGGGTTTTTCATAAGCGAGTCCATGTCATTGGTACAAACAAATTTATTATGGTCATTAAAGGACATTTAATGGAGAAGAAGAGGCTTCCAAAAGGAATGAATAACATCATTAGCATGCTAGCCTTAAAGTGCCAATCTTACTAAATCTAAAAATATTGTCTACTGTTTTCTAATGGTTTATTGTCTCCATGCAGAAACCTATAATTCCAGCTGATTTATATAGAGGGATTCGTGATTCACAACTTATAGGAATGCCAGGATACACAAAGGATGTAAGTCTTCTCTTTGTACACAGAGGATGTCCTACACCTTTCTGTGAGTGGTGTATTATAGCTTATTATCTTCTTATAACTTCAAATCTTTACCTTGGACAGGGTCACCCTGTTTTTGCAATAGGCGTTGGCCTTAGCACATACGATAAAGCATCAGTAAGTTTTGTAAGATTCCGTATAATAGATCATTGATGTCTAGGTTAATAGCTGCTTAATTGACCTCTTAATCAAATTTTGTTCTTCATCAGTCTTCAAAATTTTGATGTTTCCGTGCCGTTCGTGTCGATATAAGACTTCAGGTGCTACCACTGCATTGCTTGGTCACAGTGGTGACCAATTGGGAGAGGCTGGAGGAGATAATAAGGGACAACTGATCTTAATCTAAGAGATCATTTCTAGATTCGTCATATGCGTAATATCATAAATGAGACAGGCTCCTTTATGTTTCTGAGAAGTTATAGGGAGTTTTGCCAGTGATATTGCATGTATATATATAAGGTATTTATGCACACCTTTTTGGCTATCTAAGTAGGTCAAATGGGAGACTGAATGAGGCTCATCAGATTTATTGACATTATTACTTTCATGTGCAAGATAATACTATTATTGCCGAGACATGCTGATGAACAAATTCTTAAAGAACATGCATGGAATGGAAACAGTTCCTGCATTTATTTATCTTAATTACTTTACCTTTTGGATTAACCAATATGTTCGGTAGAAGAAACTCTCTTAGTGCACACTTGCTACATAAGTTTGTCAGTGCAAATTACAATAAGCAGTGAGTATAATTTGCTTTCTGGCTGGCCAGAAGATGGCAGTCTTTGCTAAATATATGTGCTTCAAAATTACATTGTTTTTCTCCAGATACTTATAGCAGCTAAATCTTTCTCTGTTCGTTTTAATAATCTGGGTATCACTTGAACATAGGTGAACTACTATGTGCAGTCACATATTCAATTGAATGAATACCGGGATCGTGTAATTTTGGTGAGCTGTAATTTACAGAGTTTACTAGCTTTACACAATTTAAAATATGATGTCATTTACCTATTACCTTATTTCCCCTGTAGCCTGCGGCAACTAAGAAGTATGGGCGGCATGTTGGCACATGTGTTAAGGTTTTAGATATGTCTGGCCTGAAGCTTTCAGCATTAAGTCAAATAAAGGTACTTCTTCATATATTTTCTTTATGTTTTCAAAATTTTGGCATCTGTGTTGGATTTATTAACTCACATGATTTTGAATCTAAATCATCATTTGCAACTCAGTAGTCCCATATTATGTGTATTATCTATGAGCTGATAAGGTTGGATTTGTATTATGATGGCTCAAAATAACCTCATAGCCTATTATTTTGCATCTAGAGAATCCTCTTCGGTGGTCCAAAATACTTAAGACAGTTACCATTGACATCATAAATAATGGACTGATCTTAGTTGCTTTTCGAGATGGGACTATCAGTTGTCCTGAAAATTTCCACCTTTCGGATGTTCTGACACTGCATAGCCAAGAATTTTCCTAAGAGGTTTTGATACGGATTTAATTGAAGGAATACCTTTTAGGCATTGCCAGGAGCACTATCTCAGCACATGTTTCGAACTGCTTAGATTTCTGTTGTCTTGGGCAGGACATATGCCAAATAGTGATGTTTCATTAGTCTGTAGAAATTTAGAAATGCACTTGCTATGTTTTATTTGAATTGTAGATTATTTCTTATATTTTTTCTTATTTTGAGACATTTATAAAACAGGTGGCTTGATTAACTCACCACGACTGTCATCACACTTTGTTTGATTATTGAGTGCAGTTATTGACCATCATATCTACCATCGATGACCTAAACTACCCAGAGAAGACGGAAACTTACTATATCGTTAATGTTCCATATGTATTTTCGGCTTGTTGGAAGGTACACATCAATGAATGATCTTCCTTTTACAATTGTCTCTGCTTAGTTGATCTCTTTCTTGCAATAAGCATTGAACTTTATGCATTTCTGGATTTCTCTTCACAGGTTGTGAAACCTCTCTTGCAAGAGAGGACAAGAAGGAAAGTGCAGGTACTGCAAGGTTGTGGAAGAGATGAGTTGTTGAAAGTAAGTAACTGCTTAGCTTTTCTTTTATTGATCAGATTTTATGTTACTGACACTGACAAGTCTGGTCGATTCGTCACTGTAGATAATGGATTATGCCTCTCTTCCCCATTTCTGTAAGAGAGAAGGTTCTGGTTCATCTCGGCACTCGTCTTCTGGATCCGATGACTGCTTCTCCTTTGACCATCCCTTCCACCAGCAGCTCTACAGCTACATCAAACAGCGAGCACCGAGCCGAGAATTCATCGCACCATTGAAGCAAGGATCTTTTCACGTAGACGTGCCTGAGCCAAATCCCGAGGGAATCAAGATTGCTAAGACCATCGAGTCAGAGATGCACAAGTTGGAAGACTGCAATGGACTCGGCCGCTCTTTGACTGGTCTCAAGATTTAACAGTGCATCAATCTCTCCTCTCCTGATCTGCTCACGCCCCTAGTGCATCGCAACAAAAGATCATTCGGTAAACCAGCTGTTGTTTTTTTCTTTTTCCTTTTTTTTTTTGTTTTTTCAAATTGATCTTTCTTACCCAACTTACTTGGGATACACTGGCAAGTCCTTGCAATCTCTCGATGCAAGTTTAATAGGAAGTTGAATAGTGGATTTACTAAAGCATATATAAGGAAGAGAAAAAGCTGGACACTCTATGCAATCTTATATTCTCGTAGAATATGAATATTTTTTCGTTTGTCAGGTTCTTAAAGCTTTGAGTTGCATCTTGCAATTTCTTCTTGTGAATGCAATAGGGTTTGGTGTGCTCAGGTCCTCCTCTTAATTTAGGCCCATAACCCCTCAAACTAAATACACTGTTCCATTGTCATACCCACGTTCTAGCTCGCTGACTTGGTCAACGCCATGAACCTTGTGAAGGGCCCCAGCCCTCTTACCTGTCCGCCAATACCGCACGGCCACGTAGCCGTGCAACTGCCCTCACCCTCACGTACCTTTCCACTTCCCCCCATCCAACTAACAAACTGCCCATGATTTCCCCACACCACTCCTCTATATAAACACACGCATCGCACTTCACTCCACTCCACTCCCGAGCCAACCAAGAAAAAGCAGCAGCACACCTTCCTCCTCCTCTTTCTGTCTCCTCCATGGCTAATCTTTCCTGCATCGGCTTCCTATCCTTCTTCACCTTCGTCCCTCTTCTGATGGTCGCCGTGGAGTCGGGTCTGGAGTTCCATGTGGGTGGATCCAGGGGTTGGATCGTCCCCGCCGGAGATGAGGCCGAGTCCTATAACCGGTGGGCCATGAAGAACCGCTTCCACGTCGGAGACTCCGTGTGTAAGCATTAACTACCAGAAGCCATGGATAAACCAAGCTTCCTTTCGACGCTGTGCATCTCATACCAGCCGGTTACGTGATCTCCTTTTCTTTCACTAAACAACTAACTCATCTCTCTCACGGAACCATGTAGATTTCAAGTACAAGAACGACTCGGTGCTGGTTGTGGACCGGGAAGCCTACGGCGAATGCAACACCACCGACCCTCTTCTCGAGTTCGACGACGGCAACACCACCTTCCGCTTCGACCGCTACGGCTTCTTCTTCTTCATCAGCGGCACGCCGGGGCACTGCGAGGCCGGCCAGCGGCTCATCGTGCGTGTGATGGTGCACCCGGAGTTCGCCGCGGCCAGCCCGGGGCCCGCCCCGGGGCTGCAGCCGGGTGGAGGATCCGGTTCGAGCTCGGGTTCGGGTTCGGATTTCGGCTCGAGCTCAGGCTCCGACACCGGGCCTAAACGTTCCGACGCTGCTCACGCTCATGCCGGTGTCTGGGCGATCATGCCCGGCTTGGGAGTTCTGATGAGTGCGGTCTTGTCCGTTTGACGTCTTCTCTTTCGTTTGTGCGCAGGTTTTGAACTCTTCCTCTTTGGATTCATGGTATGGAAAATAGTTGGCCTTCTATTTATGTTGCTTGGATGTGACTTACTTAGGTCATGTAATCAAAGCATTGAGGATAATGCCAATTACACATTCTACCAACAGTAACTAAGGCACAGTGTTTGATCAGCTCCCAACAATTTTAAATGCTAACATGAAATCAAATTATATATATATATATATATATATATATATATATATATAATATGACGAGTGAAAAATCATTGTGGCAGCCGTTAGTTAACGTTTATAACGGCCGTTCGGTAGTGGGAAATTAAAAGAAAAGAAATAGAAGCTCGGTTGGACTGCGAAAGGGGACCCAAAGGCCGCAGCTTTGCTCTCCGATCCCGTTCCCGTGCCCATGGGGCTCTTGGCCGAGACGCCCCTCTTCGTCGACACCAACCTCGGCACTCGCTTCGCCTTATCTGTCCCTGATAACATCACGGCCGGTGATCTGAAACGTAAGGAATCCGATCGAAGATTGTGCTGTCTCCAATATTTTGTCTCCTTTCTGTGGTGGATTTGTGTGCGCTCTCGCATGCCTTCCAATTGTTTGATCAAATGCGTCAACTGATTTGTCAAGGTATATGTGTCTGTAATTGGAACTATTCGCTGAAAGATACTAGGGGACTTCCGGAGTACCTTGCTATGCTTTCGGTAGTAGTGTGTCCACTTAGAGACGCTCATTTGATTAACCTGGGGATGTTTGATTGTGTTTGCAACCAGAACCATTAGGTTACTTAATTCCCTAGAGAGAGAAAGATCTTGGTAATGCTACACGGCATGCTTGGATGGAGAGGAGATGAGAGCAGAGAATTGAAGAAAGGAGATGGAGAGAAGTCCCGACTTCCTTCCAGACTCCCAACTTCTTTCCTTCAGGATTGGACAGATAGGAAGGGAAAGGAAGAACTGTAAGTTTGGTTTGGGTGAGGGGTTTTGGGGGTAGATGTCAAAATATATTTTCTCTACCAAATGAAGCCTCTCTCCAAAGCAATAGAGAAGATTGAATTCAATAGTCCTTTATGAAAGATGTGCATGTGAATCTATTGTTGTTTCCTTAGTATCTTTGTACATATCTATGATAGCTGGTTTCTTGTGTGCTTATTGTTCATAGAAAATCTTGATCATGCCATGTGTAAGCAAGCAGGTAAACTCAAGTGTGAGCACAACTCTTGTTTCCCAGCCCTCGGAAAAATTGTTGTCCATTCTCTCATGGTTAGTAGCTTGGCAGTTCTTTTAGCCACTTCAATTTTTACCAAGTCTCCTTTTTTTCCCATCCTAACTTTCTTCCTTGTTTGTAGGTAAAACAAAAATCTTTTCTCTATCATATCCCAGACTCAATGCCAATAAAGGAAGCCTGTCAAGGATTTCGCAGCACTTGGTTTCTTCGAATGGATGCTACTAGGTTGACAGACGTATCCATGCACCAAGCATCAATACCTTCCTCGATGAACCAATTCAGAAGACGAGATTCTCCTTATCTGGAAGAAACTGTCACGCCAAATTCCTACAAGTTACCAGCTTCAAGCAACTCAAATTGTTGCACACCTGGGGGCCGATTCGTATGCACTGAAGTTGACATGGATCACATATTAGAAGGGTCCATTTCCAACATGATTGATTGTAGCAATGCTTCAAAGGCAGTGGATTTTACCATATCTACAGTTACAGCTACAAATATGATAAATCAGGCAGGTAATATTGTGCGAGATTGCTCGACATGGGACGAAAGAGAAGTTGATGTGCCTTCCTTGCCACTTATAAGCCAGAAGAGTCTGTCGAAGAGGAGGAAATTGGAACATGGCATTCAAGGGAATGTTGTTGGAAAAGAAGCTGTAATCAGCAATAAAACCAGAAAATCTGGAGTTGGTTCTAGTTTGGATTCTGGGAAAGAGGTTAGAAAAGATAATACTGCTCCAAATGCAACTCAAAAGGACAAAGCTTGGGTATCAGAAGGGCCATCAGAAAAAGAGCAACACAAGAATTCTTTATCAATGGAAGAAACTCCCAGCATGAATTTGTCAGAGAAAATATCTGTTACCGGTCTTATTTCAAGATACTTCTCTAACCAAGAAGAGGCGAGCACGTGCAGTAATCTGCACAAAAATGTGATGGACACTCAGAGTGTAACCGTGCAACCCACCAGTATGCTGAATACCCAAGAATTTCATCTAAATGAAGCAACTGGTTTTGCAATGAAAGATGTGCAAAGTTCGGCAGACGATAAAAGCTCAAATGAAGGTGAATCAGACTGTAATACGGCTTGTTCCTTCAATATCAACAAAGAAACAAAGCATGTTTGTCTCACGAGCAATAATGTCAGAAAAATTGCCAAGAGCAAACCAACTACTTCTGAAGGTAAGGGACAACCAAGTGCTATCATTTCGAGTGCAAAGAAGGATCCTCGTGTAGCTGAAAGCAGATGCTACGAGGCAGGCAACACTACATCATGCGGAAACAAATCTCTGATATCGAGCAGTCAAGTCAATAGGAAATTGGTTCATGCTAGGCCTCGTCGCACATCGACTTTTTCTTCTCTTTCATCACCAATCAGCAAGCGTAAGAGAATTTTAAGCAGCAATGACAAAAATGAAGTCGGGAAGCGACTCGTCCAAGCAGCAAACAAGATTTATTCCTCTGTTAGTGCTGAAAAGTTGCCACAATCCAGTTACATCTCTAGATGTGGAAACATGTCTGCACCTAATTCAATTGTAATACCTAAAAGATTTTCTTTTGAGATAAATGATTCTGATGATTGACAAATAAACCTTGTTAGCTACTGACCACAATTTTCTGGTTTTACTTGGAAGTGCTTCACAATGTGCATCCTATATTTGTCCATCCAATGGATAAAAGGAAATGTTCATGCTTGCATTCAAACTTCAAGTGTCATTCATCATTCACAGTGCAAGTGGCCATCCTGAGAAAATACTTCTTCAAGAGCTTACCAATTTCAAGATGTCAAGAGTTTAGGTTCTTTTGCAGAAAATACAGTGCTGAGAAGCTACAAAACATCATCTGCGGTTAACCCTTCCGTAATAGATACATCTATTGCAGCAGGGAGGAGGCCCTGAAGATGATAGTATGACGCCACGTGTTTCGCGCGTTGTCGAACCGCTGAGGTTGACTCTTCGTTCCTTTGACTTCTCTATTGTTGATCCACCTGAACCGTCTGATCTCGATCCGAAGGATAAGATGGCCGAAGAGAAGCCCACGTGAGCTCGTCTGATGTTGGGCTTGGGCTGACCTTGATTGAAGCGTCGAGTGGGGCCCACATTTAATCTACGGCTTCTGATGGGAGTTGTAAGATTCTATATTATAGCAAGTGCTGGAGAGGATCCATAACGGTTGCTTCCGATCGTCGCCGGGCGCTCTCTCACCACTCTCACGTGCTTCGCACGCACACCTCGGATTCCACCATCGTCAGCCTGGGCTTCGATACCTCTATTTAAGGGGCAGATGCTTCACCGTCCTCTCTTCTCTCCTTTCCGCTACCGTCGCCCTCGGCCCCGCAGTGGCTCACCTACCGGAGCCCACCGATCGTCTCGTCTCGCGGTCTTGCCAGCGCTCGGGTGTGGTTCCTTCTTGTACCCTCGTGGTTGATCCCGTTTTCTTGTTCCCTTTTCCTGTAAGTTATTGATCCGGATGCGTGTTTCGCGCTAGGGTTCTTGATGATGGGGGATCTGTGACGGGAAATTTCCGGTTTAAAGATGACATTCTTGGTATTGCGATTGACATTGCCGCATATGAAATTTTCGTCTAAGGTTTTGTTCTTGGTCATCTTTAGTTCTTGATCTGACATGCGATGAGAGACGAGAGATTCCCCGTTGAATGATAATTGCAGCTGATATTGCCATATATGAAGTTTCTGCCTAGGGTTTTGTTCTTGGTCATCTTTAATTCTTGATCTGTCATTTGTGCGTTAAGCCGAAACTTCATGGAAAACTGAATGGGAGATCTGCTTGTCATTTAGTGCCCCTGTTTCTTTTTATTTCATGTGTATATATACACGCCATCGTGATGGTTTTTTCTTGGTGGAAGATTCGTGCTAGAATATTTGTCTCTTTTTTCTTCTTGGAAACCCGATGAAGACCTTTCGTCACATCAGCCGACAATGTTCCCTTGATCAACAAAGAATTGCTCTTCTCTAAAAGCTTTTAGAGTCGAGGACGTCTAGAAATCATAAGTTGCTCCACCAACAATTATCAACCCTTCCTTTTTTGTCTTCTTGTTCTTTAGAATCGTCCCGTGGTCTTGTTTCTTTTGTGTGTTTTTTTTTTTTGTTCTCTTCTCCTTGCGGAAGCTTTCCATGATTAGGGGATTGCTTCTGGTTTTGATCGGATAACCCGAGCCGGGAATCTGCCTTCGTAGCTTACACACTTCATGAGCAATACATCCTGACTTTCTACTATTGTTGTTTATTGTATTTTGATCATCTGATTAATTTATGACCGAAGTTGATTGCATGCATGTCTGCATTTTGTGATTCAAATATTCGAAGTTTGGTTTGCTGAAATCCATAAGGTTTTGACATCAGTTAGTCATCTACTGGGTTTCACCGACTTTTATAAGAATAAAACATCATTGTGCTCCTTCTAGTGTGATTACAAGTTCTTTTGTATCTCTTTGTAAGTTTCTTTGATTTATTTCTGCATTTCGTAGAACCTTTGTGTTTTTTTTTTGTTTTAATATGGCTCCGATATATACCTACAGAATCATTTATTACTGCATGTATTGATTGTATTGGGGACTGGTAGCTTGGTCTGTGTGTGTGACACTAATTCAAGGACAATATCATGAAGACTTAGCTAGGACTTGTGTATGGCTAGGGTGGTTCGCATGTTCTAGTTATTGGAAGGGTTGCCTCGATTCGGAAAAAGTGATGTGAATAGATAGTATATTTATAGCATTTGTTGTCTTGACAACATTATGTACTTCGAAATAACATGCGCATGTTGTACTATGAGTCATGTGAGGTCGCTTCGTGCTATTGGTCCTTCCTACCAACGCCCGACCAAGTGATTGAGTGAGATCACCAAGTTGCATGGGCAATCTAGTACGGATGCATATCCAAACCGGGGATGTAGGGACATCTTTATGAGTAATAGTTAAAAAATTACTAAATGTGCATTATGATTAATGCACACTGAAGAGACTGGTAAGTGTGAGTAGTGTCCATGTCACGAGCAGATCTAGTTAGTGGTCGTCGTAAAACAGATGGTGGAAGAGGAGATAGGCAGAGGTTCCATCTTTTTTTCTTTTTTTTTGACTGTTCACGATGCATCTATGTTTTCATCTATTTTTCCATGATGTGATGTGAGTAATGGCAATAAAGGAGTCTTCGATTCTACATAATTTTCTATTTAGTCGCATACTCTTTTCAGGCACTGAGTTGAAAACGTAGGGTTGAAATTAAGGGTGCCATCATCTTGATAGTTTGAAGTGATAGAGAAACAGGCAACTACTTCTTCCTTTTGCATCACCTGGATGAGGGTTTTCTCCATCAAGAAGTAGGAATTTGTTCCTCTTAACTTTGTTTCTCGTTAAATTAAAATTCATTTATGTTGTGTATGGTTGCTTGGATTTTGTTTTTAATTTATATGTCAATAAAATATTGAATATATATATATATATATATATATATATATATATATATATATATATATATATATATATATATATATATATATATATATATATATATATATATATATATA